GCAGACAGGTCTGCTACCTGTCCCTGCCCTGGCAGAAAAGTCTAGGCACTTGCACTTAAGGGCTGGGCATTTCAAATTGCTTAATCTCCAAGTATTAAGGTCCCAAAAAATTGGATTTCTTCAGCTCAGCAGCCTTCAGGAGTTTACATATCTGCCAGGATAGGAAAGAGCAGATAACCAGAAGCTGAAAAATTTGAAAAGCAATATCTTTAAGCAACTAAAATGTAATTGACAGCGTCTCATACTTCTCACTTAAATCCTCAAGGATCCATTCTGTATTTCCCCATTTTCCTCCTGCTCTTGACTTTGTTCTAATGAATAGACTTAGGAACTAAATATATTGTGTTTTTAAACCTTTGCTAGTTAAGATTAAAATATGCCAATTTTATGAATGCAACCATGTAATGTGGGATTTTTGAGTTTAAAAATCCTCACATGTGAGCCATAGCCTGCTTGCGGTCCTCTGCTGCACCCTGATTGGAAAGAGAAGAGATGGTGTTGGCACATTTTTATCTCAACTGTGGAAAATCCAAATGTCCTTTTGTACTGACTAACTGTTGATCCTGCATTATTTTATATTAATTTTCATTAGAGTCCACTGTACTTGCAGTGAACAATTACTTTTTAGGTTGTCCACTCTTACTTTTCTGCTATTCATCTGACTCAGGTTTTCAGCCTCACTCTGCCCTTTTTTGGGGGCAGGCCTCACTGTTCTTCATACTTCTTTTTAAGGGTTTCTGCACAGTTTTAGTTCAGAAGTTGAAAATATTTGCTCTTGCTGGCTCTTGAGTGCCACTTTTAAGTGTATCTGTCCCAGCTTTAAAGAACTACTGACAGATACTGCTGTATCTGGCAATGATACTTAGTTTCACTTAGCATTTTCTTACTGGTCCCAAGACAATCCCTGCTGCTTCAGGGGTACCTTAGATGTGTTGCATTTATGAGGCTTTTGATTTTGGGTAGTGTGGGTTTGTGTTGTACTTCAAGAGGTGTTCATATAAAAGCTGTTACTGATTTGGTTTCCTTATTTTCTGGTGAAAGTGACACTTGGGAATTTGGTTAAAAAATGAGCATTTCCAGTGACTCAAGGCAGGTCTGGCCAGTGCTCCTAAATGTGCTGGGTTATACCAGAGTGTTCTCATGGCTGAGCATCAACAGGCCAGCAGCCACAAATGATGCTGAGTGCCTTGGCTCTTTGCTCTGTTGTCGTGACTTTGCTAACATGCATCACCTTCTCAGGAATTCATGTAAAGCTGGTCTCAGCAGCCTTGTTTTTGTATAATCTGAATTTATAAATGTGTGTTTTACTTGCCTGCAGTACATAGCCCTACTGGTAGTTTTGTAACCTGTCACCCTACTCTAACTGCTCATGGTTGCAGGCAGGAAGGTTGGCTATTCTTAGTGAAATGGAGACATTTCTGCATGTAATAAAATGCAGTTATTGTAAAATACACGATATTTTTATGTCTTGCATTTGTTTACTTCTTTGTATGTCACTGTGCTTAATTATATTGATTTTTTATTTTCCTGTTTAGTGTGGCTGTTCTGGTAATTTATCAACGAAGATGTTGATATGATTGATCTCAATACTTTTAATGGAGTTTCTTAAGAGATTTTGCAGTGACATGCTAGATGGAGATAAAAGATCAAAATTCATAGATACCTGTCAGACACCATTCTGTATTTTTGTCTGCAATCCTGATCTTCTTTATCCTCTTCCTTACAAATCCTCTTTATCCTTTACGCCATCATATATATATTTTTCTTCCTGAATATCAAGATTAGGAATCTGTTTTGTGTGTAAGATGATCACAGGTGGTTTGCTCAAGCTGAGAGTTTGTTCCTCTCCTTCTCCTTACCATACCTAGCATTTTTCAAAGTTGTTCGTCCAGGACTTTAGGTGCTGACAATAGGCTTTAGTCTCTAACTTTTTTTTTTAATGTGTTTGGCTGGTTGGGTGTGTTTACAAATCTTCATTATATGAATTTTTTGGTGAACTTTTATTTAATTGTGTGGCCATTGTTTTGTAGGCTAAAATTGTGCTTAGTAATCTGAACCTAGGATATTTGCTGAGTTTCCCAGTTTGAAGCTTAAACACTTGCTTGGTCTAGATTATTTTTTTCCTTCAAGCTTTGAGTAAACACATAGTGATGAATCTTTTCAAGGGGCTGTAGTTAGCTCTTGTGCATTATTCAGTACTCAAAACATAGCTGCTGAAGTGAAGGAAACTTTGAAGGGTTTAAATAGTTAAAACTATTTGCTACCCTTTCTTGACGATCTCAAGGCTGTTAGGATCTTAAAAGAGGTTAGCATGCTTTTACTGTTGCTAATCGCTTTAGTAGAGGAGCTGGAAAAATGGAAACTGTATAAAAGCATTAGTAAAAAATAAACAGCTGAACTGTTGAGAAATCCTGGCTAGATACCAAGAAGTAAAAATCTGCAGGGATGTTGAAGTTGCCTTTGACAGCAGCCTCTGGTGTAGCCAGGATGAAATTTTCATGGTTGGCTTTCATGTATCTATTCCAGTCATGTCCAACCTGCAGTGAAGAAGTAGACCAAGTGGGTTGTGTTATGGTTCTTGTTTGCTGTTGTTGAGCACACTAGCCTGAATGCAATAATGAAAGCTAAGTTTAAAATTACCTGATAACTTCAAATCTTCCTATGTGATTGGCATAAGTTGTTAATCTAGTAACTATGAGTAATGTGTCTTTCTTTTTCACTTCTCAGTTTCTGATTCCAGACTAGATGTGATATTTCTTTTTCTTCTGCATTCTGACTTGCAGTGGTTAGTTTGGACTCAAAATGCTGTTTAAAAGCCTGACTCCATGTATTTTAATATAAATATGCTTTCAACTAGATATAGGTATTTAATAAGTACTTACTGCTCTGTAACATAACCAAATGGCAAGGATAAAGAATGCAAATACCTGATGAACTATAAAACTACTTAGATATATTTAAGTATTTTATGATCATACTGTTAAAAGATGCTAAGAATGGCCTTGCTTCTTGGGAAAAACATGTACAAATGGAAACCAAAGCAAGTTATTTAAAACTATCTATAATTACAGAGTGAGGTGGATTTCCCACTGTCTGATTTAGATTATTCTCTCCTTTTCAAACTTGGAGGCAATTATTACATGGATTGTGCTTGACACTAAGAGTCTAACTTCTGAATCCAAGCCCTATGGGCATATCAGTATAGAAGGAGATGATGCTTTGGTTTGAGGTTTATTTTTTTTGTGTCTGAAATAGTTTGAAGTTTTACTATCTGAGCCTCAAGCCTTTGCAAGTAGCTGAGGTGACAGTCAAGTGATACAGCTCAGAAGAAGGCCTAGTGACCTTAACATATGCTGTCTTCAAAAACAGTCTACTTTGGAGTAATCATCTATGCAGTTAACCTATTTGACTTTAAGGCAGCAATATGATACTATTACTAATGTGTCCCTTGGAGCTGGCTGTTTTGTCTAGGGCTGCTTACCAGGGCTGGCATCACTGTGCAGGCATTACTGGGGGAGAAATGCTTTCCATAGGAGGTATTTGTGGCAGTGACATCAGATAACTTTGTATCTTTAAATGCCTGCCAATAAGTGAGCTGGGAGTTTGACTGTCAGTGCAGTTCTTTTGGAGCTCAGGCTTCTTGAGTGTCAGGGCAGTTTGGTCTGGCTGGCACTCTGAGGTGAGTGGGGTCAGAGTGGCACCCTTGGCAATCTGGGAGGCCAGGACTGTTCCAGCATAGTCTCTGGAGCTCGGTGTGGAAACTGTGTAATTCTAGCAGGGCTTTTTTCCCCAATCCTTCCACCTTGTGGGTGAAATGCAGCTGTTCTGTAGTTAGCTGCTGTACAATACGGGCCCACAATGACTCCAGAGGAAATAATGTCACTTGGGCATTTGGTCAGTGTTTTCACTGGCACATGAATTAGTATTAAAACTCAGCTCTGCTTTTCCTAACAAGTAGGAAACAGAATTTGCAAGGGTTTTCACCCCTTGAGCTTATAATTAGTACTCAGGAGCATGTAGGCAGTCCCACGTGGTGTGCTCACCCATCCTGTGCCCGTATGCTCATGGGGTCAGCAAGTGCAGAAAATGCCTTATTAAGCTGTTTTCAGACTCTTGACACTGATACAGCTTTAGGGGAATGGTACAGTGTCACCATTTCCCGCAATGTCTGTAAGTTTTCTCAAGTGGAAGTGACTCTGGCTTTGAATCTCGCTGCAGGTGTTTGTTTAATATATCATTTGGGTGCTCTTAAAAAAATCCCCTTTTTTTTCATTCAGTGTGTTATTTGTTTTGTGTTTAGAATACCTTTCAAATGAATAATGAATTTGTGTGTTATAAATTTTCTGGTGAGTATTGAAGTAAAAAAAATACTGAGTTCTTTTCATAGCCAGCATCAAGGGATTATCTCTTCATCTTGTGAGTGGCAGGGCTTTGGATTGATTCTGTGGTAGGTGGCTGTTGATTGAGCTTTTGGGGTTGTTCAAGTCCATCACTAAACAGTAATTTGTTTTTCTCAGAGATTTCCAAAATGAAAATTTGGTGGTAATGCTACATCTGGTATGGATAATAAGTCTCTTGAGCAAGATAACCTGCTAATCGGAGTTGGCATGTATGAGAAGACATCATCATCTATTGATTTTTTTAAAAGCTGTTTAACTCTTGCTTTATACTTCAGTGGGTTTAAATGTCTGTGCCCATATTTTCAGGGGGGAAGCACTGCTTCTTGGTGTACTGTGGTGTGAAGAGTGGAGTGGTAATGCCTTTAATTTACTTCAGCAAATGATGTTGTAAAGGTTTGATATAAATTATTACTGAGACTCAATTCAGCTTAGTAGGTTATATTTTGTTAACAGGTTTTTTTTCCCATGATATCCCTCCTGTGCATGCACAATACTTTCAGTCTGAAAAAATTTGACTGTATTTTCTTCTTTGGTAATATTATTCATAAGCTTTGAAAATATGTGTTTTCTGGAAGCCAATAACTTTTTAAAATATTGCAGTACCTGCTCCGGCCATCACTGCCACAGCTGCTGAGATGGAGGTGGTTTCAGCAGAAGTGAACAGCTTGCTCCCTGAGGAAATCATGGACACTGGCATAACTCTGGTGGAAGATGACAGCATCGAGGCTGTTATTGTGTCTTCGCCAATGGGAGAGTCTATTCCCATGGAAACAGAACTGGAAGAAATAGTGAACATGAACTCCACCAGCGACTCCTCAGCCACGACTACAGCCACAGTCACCACGGAATCGGTCCCTGCGCCCAGCAGCTACTCAGGAGATACAGCACTGACCCCCACAGCCCCAAGCCCTGATGTGAATGCAGCTGTAAAGCCTGCCTTCCCAGGTGGCCTCCATAAACTTGGTGCTCAGACCCCTGTCACTATATCAGCTAATCAGATTATTCTGAACAAGGCCACTGATATTAAAATAGGCAGTCAGAGTATTAAACCAGATGGGCAAAAGCTGATTGTAACAACTTTGGGCAAGTCTGGCCAGCCCATTGTTTTAGCATTACCCCACAGCCAGCTCCCGCAGTCGCAGAAGGCTGTGTCCCAAGCCCAGGGTGGAGAGTCCAAGGTACAAGGCCAGCAGATCAAAGTTGTCATTGGAGGTCGGTCGGAAGTGAAACCTGTTGTAGGTGCCTCAGCTTTGACGCAGGGAAGTCAGCTGATAAACACTGCGGCCCAGCCCTCTGTCTTGCAGTCCCAGCAAGTAAAAACAGTACAGGTAAAATGAGTTATGCTGATGAAACTTCCTAAAACCAGTTCTGTTGCTGCAATTGTTGTCTGTTTCCTGCACTGATTGACACACTGTTGCTTTCAGCCTTTGCATTTGTTCTTTGTATTAAAAAACACAATGCTGCTCTTAGCCCATGCTTTCATCTGTTGATGTGTTTGCCATTTTATGCTGTTTGCCTCTAGCTACTGTCTAGAAACTTAGGGTTTGCCTAGAGAAAGTAAATTGAAGATAATTTTATCATTATTTTCATTTATAAAAATAAATTCTACATATTCTCAGGAAGACTGAATTCAACTTTATATGCCTGTTGTTGTTTACTCAAAGTATACCCTCCTTTATGGAAGAGTACCTTCTGGCCTATTATGTTCAGTTTGTTTAAATAAACTCTCTGAAAAAACTTCTAGCATCTGTAAAGGAACAGAAGGGTGTATCTGGTCTGCCTCAAATCTAGTTATCATAAGCTTGAACATTCAAGGTTTTGTTCCCAATCTCTGGCATGGATCTTGTGATATTTGAAACCACAGAGAATCTGCTTGGACCTGAAAATGTGTTGAAAAGACTTGGCTTATGACTAAAGGGTCTGATTCTCATCTGTTATGTGGCAGAACTAAATGTGAGTGACTTTGTTCTATTGGCAATGAGGCAGAAATGAGACTTCTTAAAGTGAAAGACAAGTAGAACTCAATGCAGATTATGATGGGAAAATATTTATATTACTGTCTAAATTAAATGTGAAATTAAACTCTTAAGTATGCTATTAAAAATAATCAGCTGTACATAAAAATGACAAAGTTTAAAGAATTTTATTAGCCAAATGTGCCTTGATTAGTATTTCATGGCAGGTGAATAAGATCAATATTTTCTCTAAAGTTGCAGATGATTTCTACTGCACTAATTTCTACTTTCTCCTTTTTTGTTGCTACATCATATCTGGAAACATATTTAATAATGGCCATTTGAAATGTAGATGATTGTCACTATAGTTTTCAAGAAAGTCTCTGCACTTTAGTCATCATAGGAACATTTAAGAATGGATCAGTTCCTGTTGCTTGGCTTCATTATTCACTGCCAAGTGACAGATACAGGAAACTGAGGGAACAACTTAGCTGTGATGTGGTTTTTCCTTGCATGAGACGATTTATGCTGTCAGTGACTGAAATCAGCGGCGATTTGCCATTGGGAATTCTACCCATTCCTTAGCAGAAGCTCTTACTAATGAACTTTTATCCATTTTTTAAAAATTGCAAGTTGGGTAAATTGCAGTTTGGGTAAATTTGTTTTCTTGTGGTTTCTTTTTGTTAAGCCATTGGTTCCCTTTGCAAAACAGACTGAATTGTTAGCACTTGACATTGCTTTTTTTCCCAGGAGGAGGGAATAGAAATAAGAAAAGGTTAGCACCCAATATTGCAGGGGAAATGATTACATTAACGCTTCATAGACAGTGCTCTTCCCTGTAGAAAATTTCTGAAGTATCAGAGTGACATATGAGGCTGGGTGAGTGATTCTGGCTCTACTCTACTCTGAATGACAGAGGAGGTAACCCACACGTTGAGTCCCTGTCTTAGAAAATGAAGTGATTCATTTACCCCATCACCCTGAACAAGCCCCTTAAACTTTCTGTAAGTAGCAAAAGAGGCTGTGAATGCCTCCCTGATGCCCCGTGGGTCTTGTGTAATTTATCTCTTGTGAATCAGGTATTTCAGAAGGAGGGCAGCAGGAGACTTTGACTTGGTACTGAGAATGACCTGGTACAGATTAGATGTCAAAGAGCTCTTATCAGTTCTTGTGGTCACTCTCACAAAGGCTTTGTATATCAGAGAAACTCAATTGCCTTGACATCTAATCTAATTTTGTAATCTAATTGTGATAGTTGAAGTCTAAGCACCTGAGGCATAATTGGTAGAGTTCAGCAAAATATTTCTTGGAATTTGACTCCTTCTTTGCTTACATTTCTAGATGTGTGAGACTCTGAGGTGCTAAGTGTGGCAGGGCCTTTGGCCTCATCTATATCCAGAGGTTAATTACTGTCCTTATAGCAGCTTGTCCTGATTTGAAACTAGTGCCATGGATGTGTGGGGGAAAAACAGCTGGGCAAGTACATCTGTTTTCAGCCTGTGCCTCTTGCCTGCCTACAGCCTTAAAAGCAGTGGTGTGCCTGCTGCTCTACTGCTTTAGTCCAAGTTTATTAAGCAGCAGTTTGGCCTTGCACATGACTCTGAGCCAGGTGTCCAGACACATCACCACGGCTGCTGTTAAGCCTGTCTTTTGCTTGTTTTGTGTGGTAACTGGCTCTGGTTTTAAGTGTCCATACCATTGTGGCTACCATGGCAAGGCAGCTTCTAAGCCATTGTTGTGGCTTTATTTCATCGTTGAAAAGGGACCTTGTGCACTCCCTAACCTCAGACTCCCATTCCTAGCTCAGTTTCTTCATCTCTGAAGTTAAGGTGTTCTTTTCTATTTCTAGAGTCCCTGATTTTTCATCCTAGGCCAAATATAAATGACACAGAGAGTGGGTACATGGACAGGCTCCCAACAGGTCATCTTGGGAGTGGATTTATGGTGTATTAGCTCATTTGCGGTAGCTGACTATGTGGATATCTGGCAGTAATGTGAGGTACAAGTGTGCCTATTTCTGTGTGAATAGAACAGTCTGAAAACAAAGTTCAGCTGTATGTACTTGCTAGTTCAACTTTAGTGGAGCGTGTTTAGGAAGACAGAACTTGACACTTGAAGTCAAGTTGCCTGCAGGTAAATCTCTTGACTTCTGCAGGGGAAAGAAGGTTGCTGTGTGCTCCTAAATATAATAACATTCCTACGGATGAGCTTGGTGCTCTGGGGAATATATTTGCAGTCTAACTCAAAGTAATTTGCACGGGGCATGCTTAGCTTGCATAGGCAGGGGGATAATGTTATGCGCTTTGTGATCAGTATGGGCAATGGCAAAGTGCTTCAGAGAATTTGCCTATTCTGAAGTATCAGAGTGACATCTTGATTATTTCCTCTGGCTTCTCCAGTCTTTACTGGGCAGTAAGTTTCCCAGTGGTGTGGAGAAGCTTCTCCCTGGTGGCTGGGGTTATCCAGTGCCATAAACCTCAGAAAGGCTTGCATGGCAGCAGGTAGGGGCAGAAGTGCTGTTCCTCATTTATAAACAACCACATTTGTCTTGCTGTTTCCTAAGCCCTGAGGGGAATCACTTGTTTATTAGACCTCCCTCTTTGTAGACAAACAGTTCACCTAAAAAGCAGGGGGAAATTTATTTGAGGAGAATACTGCAAATCGAGTATGAGGGAAGCAGGGCTACTTGTGTTGATCTGTTATTTTGGGATTTTAAAGTTTTTTTTCTGAAATACTTTGTGTTAATGGTTGGTAGTATTTTACACACATTTGTGTAAGTCTTTTAAGCACATTTATTGACTGTTACTGGGAAACAACTGCTGTTATCTAGAGCTGGCTGTTCTGCGGAATGCTCATCATGTTCTGAGCTAGACTTAGCTCTCACTTCAGAGAAAAAGCAATAGCAGTTGAGTTACAATAATACCTTATGGCAAGGTAAGATTAATTTAAGCAAAACAGAAATCTCAAATCAAGCAGATGAAATGTGTAGAATTAATCAGAAATTAAAGCGTGTCCAAGCTGAAAAAAAAGTTACAGATAAAATGCTTGCTTATCTCTCAGTTGTATCTGTGCTAAGATAATTGAATCATTGAAATTTAGAAACTTTGAGTTAAATTTGTGAACAGGGCTGTGAATGAAGCTTGCTTCTTCAAACAACTTATGTTTCAAAGTTTTATTTAATATATTTCCAAAAATAACAGGTTTCTTTCTCCTCTGTTTCATTTTAGCACCTTGACAATCGTGTATCACCCATAAAGCACCTACTGTGCATGAGGAGCACTTGTAGTGTAACTGTGGAGCAGCATGTGGCTTCCTTTAAATGAGATCCATTCTCTGGGAGTGCCTGGTGTCAAGAGCTGCTCCTTGTTGGCTTCCCTGCCTGGGTGTAGCTCAGGCACACAGAGGTGCCCTTGGCTTTCCACACCAGCCTGCTGGGAGGGCTCCAGTGCCATAGCAGAGGGAGCTCCAGCTTCCCTTGCTGTGCCATGACTATGCTACTGGAAGCTGGGGCAGCCTCATGTGTGCTTTTTGTGGAGCAGCTGAGGAGTTTGTTATGAGCTGCTGAATACTTTGGTTTTGCCTTATGTGGTTGTAAAAAAAAGATGTTTTCAGGCAACAAATTCTATAGATAGGGTTTTGTGGAAGAAACGTAACTTCCAGCCTACTCAATTGCTTCATTTGAGCACTTGTAATTTTCTCAGGCTGTCGAAGGTAGCTGTCAGCTCTGTATCTTTGCATGTCAGGCAGATTTCTGATTTAGCTGCTTGAGTAAGAAAGGTGTCTCCGTGCCCTTGAGAGGTGGCTCCCCACGTGGATACTAATGTTGTGCCTCTCTGATATTGCTGGAGTTGATGGTTAGTGCCCATGGGATGTGGTGGAGGAGAGGCAGCATGTACCTCATCTGTGGGGTGGGCAGGTGTAAGGGCTTCAGTAGATGTGAGCAGTGTGCTCACATAGACTCAGGCCACATCCACAGGCAGCCTCTGCAGTCAGCGGGTTAAAAGTCTTTGGAAAAAGTCAGCCTCTCTCTAAATTGAACTATTTTCTAACTGAATGCCTATGTATAAAAACTGTTGGAATAAATGCATTTGGTAGTTAACTTCTCTCCGTGTGGAAAGGAAGAAAAATCTTCTTTAAAACTTTAAAGACTATATACTCCTGCTTACAAATATTAAGCTGAAATAATCTGTCATTTAATTGCTGTATGTGTTCTTGGTCCAGCTGTGTTTCAGGAGATTGGATTGCAATATGAAAACAGATCCCCTGGAGCTAGCCAGCTGATTTGTTCTTGGCTAGTGAGTACTCAAAACTTGCAGGCACTGATGATCCATGTGCTTTTGGGGAACTGTTGGAGAAAGCATTTTCCCCATTTGCAAAACAAGTGTGCTGCTATGTCAAAATGGTCAAGATATGTTTCAGAGCAGTAGTGGTCATATTTAAATCACTGGGGACAAGTTTTGTCCTGGTTGGCTGAAAAAGAAGTGACTTCATTTAAAACTTCAAATACTGAGAGTTGTGTATTTAATTTTAACATATTTGTGTAGACCAACCACACATAAGAAATAATTTCAGTATCTTGAAAATGAGGTGTTTGTATAGAGAGCTATGTCCTGAAAAAGCTGAGAGGGATTTGGCTATCCTACTTTGGTAGCTGGCATTCTGAAGTGTGAAGGTTAATCTCCTAGTTCTTTCCATAAAGAGAAGTGGAGATGAAATGCAAGATACACAGTTATTCTTCTAATTATATGTGCAAGTATTGCCCTTTTTAATTTTTAATGTACTTAACAATATAATAATTTAGATCCAAAATGCTCAAGTTACTTTAGATCTTTTTTCCTCCATCTTTTAGATTGCGAAGAAGACTCGAACCCCAACTTCTGGCCCGGTGATCACCAAGCTGATATTTGCAAAACCAATCAATAGCAAAGCTGTTACAGGGCAGACCACTCAAGTGTCACCAGTCATTGCAGGTTGTACTACTTTGACTTGTTTTGCTTTGCCATTTTTTAAAGGCTTTTCAAAGAAATGGTAATTGTAGAAATTCTTCTGTCTCAACACTTTTACCTTTCTGTCAAAGTACCTCATGCAATTTAAAAAAAAATCAGAAAACATTTTCGGTAGAAGCATATAAAAGCAGTTGTCGGTACCTTTATACTTAGCTAATTTAGAATAATCTTGGTGATTGCAGAGTTGCTTTTACTGCAAGGTACTTTTAGTTCATGGATTTTGGGGAGGAGAAAAAAAGCCACAGCCACAGAAAAGATTGCTTGATTAACAGAAAATACTTATAGAAACATTTTATAAATACACAGGGGGAAAGGGAGACACATGCTTTTGATTATTTTAATCTGCTTATCATTGGACTTAAATGTAATACATGCAAGTAACAGAAAAAATGTTTGAATGGAGAAAGTGACTTAAACCTGTGTTGTTTTTGTTAAGTTGCTCACCTACTTCAAAAATAACAATTGCAGAAATATCTAGGAAAGTAATTAAGGCAAATAACAAATGATCTTTCTGTTTGGAAAACAACTCTATATATCCTTAAAAAAAATAAAAGCCCAACTGACCACAAAACAACAGCAAAACCACCAACAAAATTAAAGTGTAATGCCTTTTATATCATGGCAGTGTATCTAATGTTGCTAAACATCTTAGTCATCTAATTTTTCTGAAAAAGACAAATGTAGGAAGCTGGTGTCATCTTTAGAGCTTTGAAAGATGTCTAGCTGTTTACAGATTGATCAGCCTAAGTAGACCTAAAATATTTTTCAGGTATTTAAACAAATTTTTTAAGTCTTTACAGCACTGGGACTTGAGTTGGTTTTAAAAAGGATTCAAAACACTGATAGATGCCAGCGAATGGCACATAGCTGGAACATAATCTTTTTCTTGAGTTGTCAGGCTGCCTGCAGCCTGACATGTGTTTCAGGTGAAAGAGGAATTCCCCATCCCACTCCCCAGTTTGTCCTCTTTCTCAAATTCCCTACCAAATATATAGACCTATAAGAAGATTACTGTGCTTATAAATACTTGAATTAAGTTGTTGTGTGTTTAAAACTACAATCCAAACAAAAAACCCAACCCAAAAACATTTAAAATTACTTGCAGTTTTTCAATCAGTATTTTGAAAAATCACCTGTGCATGAGCCATCACTAAAACCATCACTGGGAGGTAAAGTTGCTTCATTAATTGAGAGGGAAATCTGTAAATACTGGTTTTCCCTCACCCTTCCAAACAGCCAGCACAGCTTGCCAGCTTTCAGAGGCTGGCATCACTTTAGAGAAGGTGTAGCATTTCTGGTTTGTGTTTTGATTTTTTTATGCATGTTTTCCTGAATCTGATGAATGTCTTTAATTGCCTGGAAATACCTTCAAGCTCAGGTGGAAGTTGTAAACTTGAAAGACTTGTCAACATAAGCAACCAGATTCTCTTTAGGAAGCTGATGGGAGGAGGAGATGTAGTGAGAAGGGGAAAGCTGTCACCAAGAAAATAACTCAAAGGATTGAAACCTCTAGATGGTGAATTTCCCCACAGACTGACATTCTTCAGGTTGCATATGGCTTTAGCAGCTGCTGGCAACTATCTATGCTGTTAGACTGCACAAAAGTGGTTATTTTAGAGCACACAGACTTCAGAAGAAATCAACTTGCCATGAGGATAGTGCTTTTTCTTATTAGTTCCAGTTGACTTTAATTGTTATGCCACTAGTTGATTTTGGATGGAAAAGTTATCCTGGTATTTGTTTGTTTGTTTCTTATTTTTATAAATGTAGTACAAGAGAATGGGGGACAGGAGCTATGACAGAAATGAGTCTGAGCCAAAGTGGAGCAGAGGAAAGCTCAATGGTCAAGCATCCTTTGGAAAGAAACTTAGAAAGTATGGAAAAAAAAAATCTGTTTTCCATTCTGGGACTTTGCAATATTCCTGAAACTGATGTCATGATTTGGAGCTGCCATTTTTGATGTTTACTCTTCTTTGGCACTGTAAAAAGTGAGAGAATATATGACATGAAAACATGGGTGGTAGTGTGACTAAAAACTGTTAGGCAGTGAAAGAGGCAACCATCAACAGAGAAAAGAAAAAACTCAGAGCTGATTGTAGACAGATGAAACATCTTTTCATCTTTTTCTTGGTCACTGTAAAAGAGCTCGTGTTTGATGGCTGAGGTTTCAAAGGAAGTAGTCCCCCACAGATGCTCAGTTTCTCTGTGCATTGGCAGCAGCCCAGGGCTTTCCCAGGAAACTGCCAGCTGGCTGGGTGTTTGTGTGTGGTGCAGATGTACTGGAGGGCTCTGCTCCTCAGGATGCTCTTCTGGCTGTCAAGAATGATCAGCTGAATGGCACAGAAAGCTCAATGTGCATTTGGGCTCTTTTTTTAAGCCCGAGCAAACTGTCTTTTTGTTTGTAATAACAGCAATTGTTTTCTTCTTTTTGGCTAAATCTAATTTAAAGAACGCCAGTGTCCTTCCTGTCAGGTCGTACACTCTCGGAAGTAGGGATAAATTGCACAAAGGCAGGGAAAACTTTGCTTTAAAGGTTACTGTGACCAGGGATAACTGGAGCTGATGGTATCTTCATTGTTTATAGGTAGGGTTTTTTCACAGTCTGCTCCAGGGACACCACCAAAGACAATAACCATCTCTGAGAGTGGAGTCATTGGATCATCTTTGAGCACAACACAACAGACACCGAATAAAATAGCTATCTCACCACTCAAATCCCCCAATAAGGTAAGGACTGTTCTGGCTGTAGCCTTCTATCCTTCCTGCAGAGTGGTTTGAATGGATATTATCTCTCCAGAGATAATAAACATGTCTCTAGAGTCCATAAAAATATCTCCAGAGTCTCCATTTTGCATCACAACGCTCTGTGGTAATGCCCTAAATTAGATTTTTTCAACTGGCTCCCTTACTGTGGTTTTAAGTAGACATGCATTACTGCATAGTTTCCCATTCCTGCCATTTCCTGCCATTCCCTAAGCATCGATTCTAAAAGCAGCTGTTCACTCTTAGCCAAGCACTCAAACTATTTTTAATGCCTTCATAAAACATCAACAGGCTGTTTAAGAGGAGACCTCAATAATATTAATACGTCAGCACTTATTAACCATTGCCTGCTACTGCACAGGCAATTTAGTCTTCCCTGATCACTTCTGAAGTGAATGAGATTTACAATGGTTCTTGCACAGAGCTGGGGATTGGCACAGGTCAAGGTGGCTCTTGTATTTTAGATTTGATAATTATCTTGAGAAGAGGAATATTGCTGGAGAAGGGGAGGTGGGGGGACAAGATGCACAGTGCAGGCAAACTAAAATAACATGTATAAAACAAAGTAAGAATAAAGAATTATTTTAGTTTGGCTATGCTTTAGTGATGCAATGTTATACAGATGGAGTAAAAGACTTGTGTTTCACAGTTATTAGTAAGAGAAGCAACGTAAAGAAGAAGTTATTTTTTATTCTAAAGTTACTTTTTTTAACTAGAATTGAGTGTGAAAAAACTGTTTAGGGTTACCTCTTGAATTTACTGTTGATAAGCAATTCTAAGTATTTGATTTTTCTTAAAACATAAGGAAGTTTAGAACAGAACGTAGAAAACTAGCCTTTGAAGGGGTGTGGTTATATAGAGTGTTTAAACACTTCACTCTGAAGAAATGTAGTGAGAAGATTGGATCTCTGTGGGAAACTGCAGTGTAGATTTGAAAGTACTGATGTTCTTATACTTTGCTGAATCTGTAGTGTGAGGTGAAAATTTTCTTTTCTTTTGAACAGCTTTTCTTTAAAATTCTTCCTTATGATGAAATAGTCATTGTACCAATTATAATGCCTTTATTTAGAACATCCCTCTTGAAAATGCTCAGGCTTTAATGGGACAATTTCCTTAAAAAAAAAAATCGATAAAACAAATGGAAAGACAATCCCTTACTCCCACTGAGATGCTGTGCTAGATTTCTGCAGGAGCATTTTGGTGCTGGAAACCAGTGATGCCTTCAAGTTCCTAAGGGCTCTATTAGCTGTTGTCACAGCTGGACCTGTGTGAGTTGTGGTTAAGTGCGGCATCCTTGTTCACAGAAAGAGCTCTGTTCTGGTGGAGAGCTGTGCTGTCCTGAGGAGGGGAATGTATATGTACAGGGTCCTGTATCCTGCACAGAGGTTTAAACTGCTTTTTGTTTTGCCAAGCAGCTAACTGTGGTGTCAGTGGCCTCCCAGCCTCCCAACTCCCCCCAGAAGACGGTGGGCGTCCCACTGAATGTAGCGTTAGGACAGCAGATCCTCACAGTGCAGCAGTCAGCACCCTCCTCCCCTGGGAAGGCCATAGTCAACCACACAACCACCCAGGTACAGACTGACTTTCCTTTGTCTTCTGCTGTGTCTGTGTCATTGCTTGCTGGAAACTGGTGTGTTGGACCACGGCTTGGCAGCGGTCTGTCTGCCGGTGTTCTTGGAATGGTGTTTGCTTAGGAATTGGCAAAAGTAATGCCCCAAGGAGTGTATACTTCTTCAGTTGAGGGGTGCAAACCATTGCAAGCCCATACAAGGGCATGCTGTTAGAAAGTAACTTTCCAACCTGGAAAGCCCCACTTGGTGCAAATTCTTGTTTCTGTGTACTGAATCTCCCAAGTCACATGAAGAACTCTGTGTCACGAGGAGGAGTTCTTTGGTTGGTTCTCTTTCTTCTGCCAATGTTTCTATGCCACTACCTAGGTATTTCTGAGGTTTGCAGCGCTGGAGTTCATATTCCTGCTGTAGAGGTCTGGGCTGAAACCTACAGAACCAGAAATTATTTATTATGTGTCTCATTTCTAGAAAAACGGGATTTTCCATAATAGTTTTTATAAACATTTTTGCATGAATTAATCACAAGACAAAACTGACCTTTCTTACAAATGACAGTTTTTGCTGTTTTCCTCTTTTGTGATCTTAGGTAAATCTTTTTTTATCACAATATCTGTTCTCTAGTTCTGGTAAACATGAAGGGATATGTAGGGATATAAATATATCCAGAGCATGGATATAGCTGGGAGTGGGTACACATGTACAGCATGAGACCAGAGATTCAGATCGATTTTCTCAGTCTTATCTTACTGATATAGGAGTATGGACACCATAGAAATTTGAACTGTTTTTTTTCCCAGGGAAAACTGTGTTCTGAAATAGTTGTTTAAAGGTTTAGTCTCTCTAATGCAAGCACTCTAAGTGAGGGAATGGAGATGTCCGTGGGAGTTCCTGTTGCAAAGCTCTCTGACACAACACAAGGGCTTCACCTGTCTTCACTGGGCTCAAGAACATGCCTTTGGAAGAACTGTCCCTTGAATTTTACAATTTTCCCAGTTGTCCTCGGATAGCAGCTGCTCATTTGTGTGCTAGAGAGAACTGGTCTTCCTTTGATAATGTCTGTGACTATGCTTGCACATAGTGCTTATTTTGGTGCTCTGGCTTGTTAAGGTACAAAATGTCCTAAGAAAAATAAAAAATCCCAAGAAAATACCTTTTAGAAGAGCAGGTTGTTTTTCTAGTAAAATGCATGCAAATTAAGATTTCATTTGTGTAATTGCTGAATGCTGGGCAGCTGGGAAAATGTTCTCATAGGAATTCACATCATCCTGTCAACCAAATGTAATACTTAAACTTGATGTCAAGGACAATATGCTTTATACCAGTAGTAAAAGGTACTGAGGCTAAAAAGCTGATCTCTAAAAAAAATTAAATGGAGAGAGAAAAAGGAAGAAATCAAGGTTTGAGGTTGAGCAAGTCTGGGAAAAGAGGCTGTTACCAAACCAGTAGACTTATGAATGTGTATAAATGAAATAAAACTTTCTTGCTATTAGTTTGTAGTTTGAGAAAAGTTGGAAGGATGAACTTTTGCTATATTCCAGGTATACTGATACTCCAGCTGTAAGGTAGCACAGGTCTGCTGAGCTCCCTTTCTTTTAGCATTTTGCCTTTTTTCTTAATGAATTTGTTTTGCTACTCCTCATTGTTCTTGCTTCTTTCATTTCTCAGCTTTTACTCTTTCTGATGTCCATCAGTTATGGATTCTGTTTCCTTTTCCTCTCAAGGGTTGCACAGTAATTTCTGTTGATTAATTACAAACTATCTTAACAGGACATATCTGTACACATGCAGATAAATTATGATGCAGTCCAGAGAAACTGTTTTGCAGGTTCTTACCATGTGCTTTTAATAGTAGGAATATTTATGTGTTTGGTTGTCTGATTGTGGAAGACAAACTGAGCCATGTTCTCTCTAGTCACTTGAAATAGTTTTGGCAGATGTATCTTGTGAAATGGACTGAGTCACCCTACTCATGTTTACTCTGGTGTTTGGTGTAGAGCATTGAAAATGGAACTGAGTTTACTCTGCGCTATTGAGAGGCATTTAATCCCTTTGCATCTGTTCTACTTTTGAAAGCAAAAAGAGGGTAACTGTCTTCCCTCTCAAGGGTACGAATGCTGTGCTAGAATTGCTCACTAACAAATTGAGAAATAAACATGTTGATGTTCTTTCTGCCTTTGTACAAGTAATTTTGTGCTGTCTGTGTTGGCTTAACAGGCTGTGAAATCAGCAGTGCAGACCATTACTGTAGGAGGAGTGGGTACATCTCAATTTAAGACAATTATTCCCTTGGCAACTGCACCCAATGTTCAGCAGATTCAGGTACCTGGAAGCAAGTTCCATTATGTCAGACTCGTTACTGCCACAACAGCCAGTAGTTCAACCCAATCTGCCAGCCAAAATCCCAGTACGAATACTCAGCCTCTGCAACAGGGTAAGTGCTGGTGGTAACATTGTCTGAAGCCTCTATTGGGTTTTTCTTTCATGTTTGTTCTTTAAGGATTAAAATGAATAAATAACAGAGATCCATGAAGACTGCCAGATGTACTTGGTTTTGTGGTAAGACCTCCATAAATTCCATATTCTGCTGCTACCTCTGGTATGTGAAAATGCTCCTTTGTATCAAATTGCTCTGTAGCTGGGCTTGAGTCCTGGGAGTATTTTAGGTTGCTTTTCCCTAGCTGACCGGATTTGTGAGTGGTTCATGGCCTCTTCCATCTCCTCTATATGACAGCGTGAAGGCAGGACAGCCCACAAGCATATTGCCAAAACTCCTGTAACATGAAGATCTTCCATATAAATTGCTTTAGAAGTGTCAGGTGTTTTTGCTGGTTTCTGTCCATGCTTTCCAGAGGGGTGATGGAATAAAAGATTTCAAAGGGAAAAGGGATGTAAGGGAGATCCAGTGTCCAGAGGAGGTCTGCACTCTGGCTGGATTTTTTTAATCCATTGCTGTAAAATGTGTGCCAAAGACCTGTTTACAGAGATCTTGTCTAGACCCAAGTGTTGCATGCCATGAGTTACAGTGTTAAGTACCTTGTGTTATGCACATGTGAAAGTCTGAAGGGCTGAACTGTGGACTTGGAGTGACTAACACGTGTTCATATGATGTTGTTTCTTGACACCAGCGAAGCCCGTGGTGGTGAACGCGACCCCTGTGCGTATGTCAGTTCCCATAGTACCAGCACAGACTGTGAAACAGGTGAGTTGAGTTTAAGTTATGTAATAGTCCTGACCTGTCTTGGCTGGACAGAAAAAAAGTCTGCTTTCAGCTCTGTAAAGAACTGTTCTACTAATCAAAGTGTGTTCTGAATGACTGAAACACTGATTTCATAAAGAGCTCTTTTCTCTCCAGGTGGTGCCCAAACCAATCAACTCAACTTCTCAAATAGTCACTACTAGTCAGCCTCAACAAAGACTTATCATGCCAGCCACTCCACTGCCACAGATCCAGCCCAACCTCACCAACCTCCCTCCAGGCACTGTGCTGGCACCAGCCCCTGGCACAGGAAATGTTGGTTATGCAGTCCTTCCAGCTCAGTATGTCACACAGGTATGGCCTTTCCCAGAGATGGTTAAGCAAATGCTGCTCTTGTGGAATATTCTGCCTTTCTCTTAAAGGTTTCTGCTCTGTGACTGCCACCTGATACTGAGGCAACAGTTTCTTTTAGGCACTCTTGTCAGAATGATGACAGCACTTTAATTTCAATCATAGTTGCAATTAAAACTTTTTAAAAACTGTTAAAGTTTTTTTAAAACTCCTTTTCTCAAAGGAGTTTTTATTAGCATAATAGCACAGCATTTCTGTAAGCAGAATCGGTGTAGTGCAATTTTGAGTAGTGTAGTACAGAATTTATAATGCCTTACTCAGATCACATAGATCTCAACTTCGAATTTCTAATCACCTAGACCCTGCATATTGGGTCAGATCTTGATACACAGTTTGCTTCATCACTTTAGCATTCATAACCTAGATTTGAAAATCATATGAAAGAGTACAAGTCACTTGGTCCTCAGAGGAAGTGGAGGTGACCCTGGTCACTGGTGGTCACAGGGCACAGTGTACAGCAACAGTTCCAGTCCAGGTTCATCACTTAGGACTTGATTTTATAACTGCTCTGTGTGCTGTTACACTTCCCTGTTTCCTAACAGTCACCACCACCACCTTGTTCTCTGGGTGTCTGAGACCTCTATGGCCAGTAAGGAACAGAGTAATTGGCCTGGTGCCCAGAAATAGTGAGGGGATGAAGAAATCCTATTGGTTTGTCTGCTTGGTTCACAGGATCTTCAGGGTCTGATGATGAGAAAGGGAGCATATATGTGACCTGCTTGATCACAGAATGGCTGTGGTGTTAGTTAATGCTGAGCACATTTCCAGGGGTCAGAAGCAGCTGGTACCAGTCACCCACCTGAGACCTAAGGGTTCATTTTTTGCTCTTTGCCAGGATCTGACCAACATTCAGGATGAAAAGGAGAAAAATTATATGTTCTGCTGAAGGCTTAAATTTATAGAATCAGACTCTGATAGCTCCTGGCATTACTGGTACCAGACTGGTTTCTGCTTGCCTTTTGGTTTTGTCACAGTTGTAGTTTGACCCTGAAGATTGGTACTGCGTCCTTCCAATCTAGTTCTGCAAATTTTACTTAAAACTAGCCTCTGTTGGACCTCTCCTCTGAGGTTTGTGTCCAGTCACAACCTGTCCCCTTTTACCTGGCCCCCAGTAGGTCTTTATCTTGCTATGTGCCAATATGTCCCTAGAACCTGTCCCAGCAGCAGCAAAGAGCTGCTTCTAGGTAATGCTAAAGAAGGTAACCCAGAGCAATGTTGTTTGGTAAGTTCTTATGAGATTTTGTTTTTTTAATGTGAAAAATAAATGGTGAATTCAGGTATGCAGAGGGGTTGGAATGCAAACCATTTTGTTCACTTTCATAGTAAGTGGTTTGTATATAAAGGAAGCTACTAATTTGTGCAGGAAGTGATTCCGCTCTATTAGGGGGAAAATTAGCATGTTTTTAGGTGCTGTTTGTGGTCTGAATATTTCTGTGTGTTATCCCTGTCATCTGTATGGATCTAGACACTGTAATAGACAACAAAAATACAATCTAAAATAGTATTTTTATGCTAAGTATGGAGGCAGGAAGTTGCCAGCTGGTCCAAGTTCTGTAAGTGTCTAAAAGTGTTCTTAGAAGCAAGATATTTTTGTAGCAATATCTGAAAAGCTAATTTGAAGACTAGCAACACATTCTCTTCTTTATAATTTCTTTCATGTCAGGCATTAACCTTTTTGTTTTGTTAGCTACAACAGTCATCCTATGTATCCATAGCAAGCAACACTGGCTTCACAGGGACATCCAGTGTCCAGTCCCAGGCACGCCTGCCATTTAATGGGTAAGAGTTCTAAAAAAAAAAAAAAAATCCCAAAATCTGTAGAATAGGCTGCTTGAATAAGCATGAGGTCTTGGAGTTTGGTTTGGGGAATTCTCAAGTCTGCTGTGGTGTGATTATTACCTCTGACTGAAGGGTGTGAATCTCTCTGACATTTGAGCCAGTCTCTTGATCAAAGCTGTGTTTTCCTTTCTGTTTTTTGAACTCATATAGCAGGAAGTTGACCTGAAAGCTCCCTGTTGCTTGTTTCTTATTTGCAACAGCACCTGTGAGCTACAGGCCTCAACTATTTCTCAACATTGCTGCAAAGAGGTTCTGGACAGCATATAAGCTAGATGCTTAACACATACAGAAATTCAGCCCAACAGCAAAATGGATCCTGATAGGAGGCTTTGGGTTTTTTCAGTCTTGCATTTTTCCTTTAAGGATGAAAATAACAGCTAATGTATATTATTTTCCCTTTGCCAATCCAGCAGACTTAGCTGTTCTGCACAGTCCTTTTGTGTTACGGTTTGCTGGAAATTGTGAACATGAAGTTGCTTTTTTGTTGCTGCAACCTCAACTGATGCAAACTAACCCCAAATCCAGATGCAGCTATTCAGATGAACGGGTTTGATTTAATCTCCCTGGTATTACGTGCAGAAATTGCTGGATAGGGGTGGAACAAATCTCATCAGATGTGACTAGTGTCACAAAATCCAAGTCTTAGGAGTAGTTAAAGACTGTGTCTACCATAAAATTTATCTGAAAACTGAATACTGTGGTTTCGCTTGCTTTCCCATTATTCCGGGGGGTATTTTTTTGTTTTCTTGGATTTTTTTAATTCCAAGTAGAACAAAAGAAAAGGCACAATCATGTTGTGTGAATTTTGGTTGGATCTGGTCCCACTGCACTTGAAGGGAATCTGGGGAGGGTTTCCCTGACTCCAGTTTTTTAGTTATGCTTCCTCTAGCTTTAAAGCCTAATTTCTACTTCAGGCATGCATCCAAATTTACAGCAAATAATCCATCTCTTTCTGGGTTATAAAGGCACTACTTATGATAGTTACTTAAACACAGTCACCCAAAAGCCTAATGCGAGGGGAATATAAAGAATTTTTCGAAGTTTTTATTATGAGCTGATTAAAATTTAAAATAGGCAGAAACTGATAAAACTGTGTGTATATAAATGCCCTTTTCTCCCCCCAGAATAATTTCTTCTGAGTCTGCAAACCGCCCCAGGAAGCCGTGCAATTGTACTAAGTCTCTGTGTTTGAAGTTGTAAGTACAACTTGGTACAGTTTTTGTCTTTTAAGCCTTATTTTTAACATCACAAATGTGCACCAAGTATCAGAATATAATGGTTTTAAGTATGCCTGAAATTTTATGTCTAGATGGTGACTTAAGGTGGATATTTGTGGAGATGTTGCAGACCCTGTGTAATTTTGCAGCTCCTGTGAGCTATATGGACCATGACATTTAAAAATGTCTAATTTTGCGTCATGTACCTTATTGCATGGTGGAGCCAAGTCCACTCAGCAGCTCTGGTTGCCTTGTTAGTACCATGAGTGAAATGATATCTCATGGTGTCATTCGTGGGTATTTACTATACTTTGGTGAAGTGCATCAGTAATACCATGCTAGATCAAATACTTCAGAAAAATTGGGCTGTGTGTATTTTATTAAAGGATTGAATAGACAAGTGATTCTTCACTGATAGGTCTGCCTCTTGCTTATCCATGAGATATTGTGCTATTCCATTCCATGTATTTGTAAGAATTTGACACAAAAGCATTTGGAGCTGAGGAGAGTTTCTTCACCTTGATCAAAGTCAATTTACTGATATTTCTGTGACAGGAATGGGAGGACATACTGAAATTAATCTGTGGTTCTGAATACTAGACAATGAAGAGGAAATCAGGGGTGTGGTACTCAAAGGGGAAGTCATGCAATAGCATCTGAACCCAAGTTAAGAAGTTTGTTTAAACTCAAGCTTGGGTGTCTTTTGTGTAGTGCACCCCACCTCTGTATGGGGAGGTGTGCTCTGTGTTTCATAGTCTCAGACTTATCTGTTGCATAGCAGGAAGATGTGTAGCTGTTTTTCAGATATTTTGCATACGTGACTGACCTCACGGTGCCCAATGTATGTTAGATGTGTAGGGGGTTAGGTTTTGGGGCCTGAATGTGCCCTAGAAATGCTGGGAAAGGAATGGCATCACTGGGAATAATTCACACCTTCAGAATTCTGTTAGGAAGAAAACTGTTCTTGTAAAATCACTGATGTTGTGTGTTCTGGGCAGTGGTGCAGAACAGATGGTTAATTCAATCTGGCACAGGTGCCTTCTCACTAGTAAAACCTTTTTTTTGTCTGGAGGGGAACTTATTTCTTTCCCAAATGCTTGTGTAAAGTAGGCACATAGCCTATTCTACTAGGAAGTCAGCTCAGTTATTTGCTCATGTTGTGGATTGATGCTGGCCCTGTTTTTTTTGGAAACCAGGGCTATTCTACCACTGAGTTTTTAAAAAGAAAGGAAAGCTATTACACATTGTAAAAGCTTTAGATTTAGTTTGTCCCTGGGACCATTCAAGATGCTAAAAATCTCCAGAATCCAGTTCAACCTGATAACGGGTTGCAGTGGACTCCAGGGCAACCCCAATCTATTTATGTAGTGCTAGGCTGGGCCAGCCACAGAAAGCCACTTTAGCAATGGGTTTAGACTCCAAAAAATGACCATACACCCCCAGCAGGATTTGAAAAGCAAGTGAAGAGGATCAGCAGCTTTTAGCTATGAGCTGGAGGTGGTCCTGCAAGCCTTGAAACATGTTGGAGTTTGTTGTGGCCTAAGTCATGTTTGAGCTGGGAATGAATGTGATATCTCCATGTATCAGATCTGTGAGTCTGTGGATTGTTGAGATGTTGTTTTTGATGGCAGGCACCAGAGGTACATAAGAAACATGGCAACATGATTGCATTTTGCTGTCCATGTTTTGCTGCTTATCTCTTTTCTAGTCTTCCATCCCAGCTTAAGGGCAAAACTAACAAAAAAAAAAGCTCCTTGCTGGGTTAGTTTGCCTGTTAACTGTCACTCCAATTGCTTGCTTTTTGTTTTGGCTGTGTGAGGGCTCCTGAGGGCTGACTTGGACTGACTGGCTCAGGAGCTGGCTGTGAGGTGGCTGCAGCAGACTGGCCCTCAATATGTGGGTGACCCAAGAGTCAGCCTTGGAAAAAGTCTCATTAGCTTCTCATGCTGCTTGGGGGACCTGTGCTATGGGATGAGCTCAGGTGGACACCCTTGAGCTCCACCTGTGTCTTTATTAGACAGCAGCTAGACTTGCACTAGAGGATTTTGGCTCTGCAATGAGGTTGGTACTGCTTGTACATGTGGAGTTGAGCATAGGATGACCCTTACCCGTATTGGTGCCAGAGTAGGAACTTCTTACTGCAATGTGGGACTCAATACTCACACACCAATGTAATGGTCAACATTTACAAATGCTTTTTGCATCTTCTGTTTCAGATATTGCGACTGTTTTGCAAACGGTGAATTCTGCAATAACTGCAACTGTACAAATTGTTATAACAACCTGGACCATGAAAATGATAGGCAAAAAGCAATAAAGGTGAGGGGCCTCTTCCTCTGCCCCTGGGATCAAGTAATTTAGCTTCTTTTTTCTGAAGTTGCAGAGTGGGGCAGAGTGGGTGTATAATGCCCTGATCTCCTCCCACATGTGCAAGGCTTAAGTTCTTTTATTGCACCTCTAAATTCTGCTCCCTGCATGCAATGACTGACCCTTTGAGTCTGCATTGACAGGCCTGCCTTGACAGAAACCCTGAAGCCTTCAAGCCCAAAATAGGGAAAGGAAAGGAAGGAGAATCGGATCGGAGGCACAGCAAAGGGTGTAACTGTAAACGCTCAGGATGTCTCAAAAACTACTGCGAATGTTATGAGGTACAAAGCATTATCTCATTTGAAAAATAGTAGCTTTTTCCCTTTAGTGTAGTGACTTCTCTCATTTGCTTTGTCTCTTCCTTGGATTGCTATATTTTTTCTTCTGTTTGTTTCCATTCCTGTAATGTTACCTCTTCTCCCAGAAGTTTGCACATAGAAAGCCATGTACATGGAACAATTGGTCGCTACTGTTCTGTAATTTTAATTTTAAACAATTTAGCAACTTTGAACTTAGGCTTGGATTTGTTTTTTGCTGAATAGCACAATTTTTTCCTAAAGAAATTTACTGCACCAAGTCCCTAGGAGGAGTTGAAGCAGCATCCCACAGATGCTGTGGGATAGAATGTGTTTTTGGAATTCAAAGGCAGAAGTTATTGTTACCTCATTGCTAACTGATCAGTGTCTGAATGTAGAGACAGTGTAGACTGCCCTTTCTCAAAAGTCAGCTGACTGGAAACTGGAGGTTGATGAAGAAAGGCATGAGTAGCAAACCACTTATTTACGTTCTATGCTGTATGATTCAATTGACGTATACATTCTGGGAAGACATCTCAACTTGAGGTAAGAATTTAGAGAGAAGACTATTACTTGAGAGTTTGTTCTAGTTGCTAATTGGTAAAAGAGTAAAATAAGATCTCCTTTTTGTTGTGATTTCTCATAAGGGGAGTCACAAACTTGCAATAGGTTTCTTATGTTTTGCTTGTTTCTTTCAGGCAAAAATCATGTGTTCTTCCATATGCAAATGTATTGGCTGTAAAAATTTTGAAGAAAGCCCGGAGCGAAAGACATTGATGCATTTAGCAGATGCTGCAGAGGTCAGGGTGCAGCAGCAGACTGCTGCAAAGACCAAGTTATCTTCCCAGATCTCAGACTTGCTGACAAGGCCAACACCAGCACTCAGCAGTGGTGGTGGGAAGTAAGTTAATGCTGCACCCTCTTTGAGTTGTTCTAACACAGGTTTTTTGATGTGTGGGACAGGTATGTCCCTGTCATCTCTGAGCCTTGCCTGAGCTGTAGAGGTGGGATGGAACACTGTTCCTCTAACAGTAGGGATTCTGACCCACCAGTTCCTTTGGCTGTTAACTGAGGCTTATTCACTATCTAAAGGCTCTTGGAAGCGATGGGACAGATGAAATCTCATCTCGGACTAAAAAGTTGCCAGCCCTGGAGTTAGGTGTCTGTGTGTTTTTGCTGACATGGACTAAGTGGACATTTCTTTGTTTCAGGCTGCCCTTTACATTTGTCACCAAGGAAGTGGCCGATGCAACCTGTGAATGCCTCCTGGCACAGGCAGAGCAAGCGGAGAAGACGGGCAAGTCCAAAGCTGCAGCAGAGCGCATGATCCTGGAGGAGTTTGGACGCTGTCTGATGAGGGTTATCAGCTCTGCAGGGAAGTCCAAAAGTGACCCTTGTGCCATGAACTGCTGACTCATGCACATGAGCCACAATGAAGCGGACTGAACATAACACTTAAGGCACAGGGACACTTTGGTTTAGCATAAAGGATGGATTTAATAATATTTGTTAATTTGGTGCTTGTTGTAAATTGACCCATGTAAGATTGAAACAAGAAATTCTTTTATAACAAGATGTAGAGCCTTTTAAATCTTAGCTAAATCCTCTTCTATGTCAGACAATGCCTAAAAGTCAGTTCTTCTTCCCAATGTACAGCTTTTACCCTGAGTGTCTTAAAAAGTAGATGTGTTCTCCCCTTTCCCCCAGAATTAATTGTCCAAAGGGCAGATATAAATTATTATAATATATATTATTTACAGTGTATGGATTTGCATCACTGTGCATAGAGGAAAACACAGGTGATGTCAACAGCCAGGTCATGCTTTTGCTGAGAGGCCTGTAATCTGGAAGTAGCAGTGTATCCAAGATAATTCTGAAAGGAAATAGGTAGACATAAGCATGTAAATGGAAAGTAGTACTTGTATTTAGGACTTGACACAGCATGTCCCTGTAGTGCACGGAGCACTGCGAGATACATAGGTAATAATACAGAGGGGTTGCTTGCAGATGTAGCACTGAGCAAGTCATGGAGAATGTTTCTGGAGCAGGGCCCAAGGAGTACAGACGTGAATGGCATTACAGGGAATTTTTTATAGGAATGGGGCAGAGTGCTCAGGTGTTTCTTAAGCTGGAACTGGAAGTCTAAGACAGTGGCCTGTCCTCAGAAGTGAGGAAGAGCAGCCACAATGCCAGACTGTCTGCCCAGTGTAGTGTTACTAAGTGTGTAGCAGATTGATGCTGTTTAGGTGACGCTTGGTTTTCAGAGGTCTGCAGCAGCCTAATCCCTCACTGGAAATAGGGCTGTGCAGTCAGTTATGTTTTCTAGGACCAAGCTATAACCCTGGGAAAATATTTAGGCCTGAGAAGCTGAAGTCACAGGAGATGACAATGTGCAGCTGAATCGACTTGCAAATGCAGGTAGGGATCATGTTCAGCCTGTTGTGGGTGTTCAGTATGCTGCATCTCTCCGTGTTGGCAATTTATTCGGCATAAAGACTCTTTTAGTGTTGTTTAGAATAACTGTGAGAGCTGTGATCAGAGAAAGTGCTAGCACAGAATCAGGATTGCTACAAAAACAGATGCAGATCCCTTTTACACTAAATGGGGGGCAATCAGCTATAGTTGGGCATAGACTAAGGCAGGGGATTTTTTTCAGTATTTCTTACAGGCAATATCAGATCACATTTTTGATAGTGGAACACATTTGCAGAATTAACCTGGTTGGGTTAGTTACCTATCATGAACATCCATTAACCATGTTTAATCACAGGCATTTTTATTACCTATCTCACTGCAGCCTGAACTAGCTACATTTTTTCCAAAAGGGATTTTGCACTCCTTCTATAAAACTGTACATACAGTTCCAGGCTGGGGAGAGGTAGGGGCTAGGCACACCAGCAGCAGAGCCTCAGTGTGTGAAGGCAATAGGGTGGGAAGATGCTTCACCTCCCAGCCCTGTGCACTGTGCAGAAGGCCCTTGACCCTTCTCTGGTGCCTCCTTGAAATGCCTGGGTGGCATGAAGAGCCTGGGAGGCAGCCAGCAGCAGTGGTGGGCTCACAGACGAGGTCTGACCTGCCAGTCACTGTCTGAAGGGCTCTGTCAGCTAAGGACATCTCCCCGAGTATAAATAGCAATGTTTGTGCAAATCTCTGAAAAGGGAAGCCACCTCTCATGTAAGTAAATGCCATGTTTTTTCATTATTAGGAGTTGGATTTATTAAAAAATCAGTGCAGTAACTTTACCTGTAGATAGTGCAGATATTCCGTTCCCTTCTAGACCTAATATAGTCTGTCCAGTAAGATTTGTATAAATGTAAATTAGTGTAAGTGAATAAAGTAATACCTACTTACGTTATATTTCAAACAGATTGCAATATGCCTTTTGTTTAGACTTCAATCTGTGTTAATTTTGTATATATTCAGTGTTTTACTCTAAATTGCACCTTTTGTGATGTGTATTTATATACAGTGTGCAAAAGCACTTGTGAAATTTAGATTACAGTTGTAATTATGTATGATGGCATTGCTGGAGAATATTTTGCTTGTAAAGACTTTGAAGGTGCAATCAAATGCTCTTAGTTCTTCTATTTTGTTTTGAACAAGCTTTCTCAAATATTAAGCTTGGATTCCTCTCTCCTTTCTCCCTGGTGTAGAGTGTATGAATTGGTTTTTGTACTTCCTTAGCCATTTGCATCAAACTGCTGGACAAGATTAACAGTCAAGTTCATCCAGTTACATAAAAAATAATTGGGAAAGGGGGAAGGGTTCATTTTATAGTTCTGTTTACATCCAAAAGTAGAAAAATTAAATTTATATTTACAAGACCTATTCAAAGAATACACTTTTCTATGTTGTACAAATAAAACAGTCAGATAAATCACAAAAAATAAACATTTATACTATTCTGTAAATATGATTTTTTTTGCACTCCTTTGCTTCAGCACTGACAAATATACACAGAAGGTTTGTCACTGAAATACCCAAATAAATTGTTAACACTAGGTCCACTTCTGATGCAAGTACTGACTTGGATTTTCAGTGTGAGACCAAATGCTTCCAGAGATAAATAAATATCCCTTGGTTATTGCTGTGCTCTCATGCACAGCAATCTATGGCACAGTTCATAACTACTCAGAGCTGGAGGTAATGCAAGTGTTCCAACATTTCATGATTGCAATCTGTCAATGAGATTACAGCAGCATTTTGCCAGTTGTCCCAAAAATCACATATAGAATGGAGGGAATAGTTTCCTGCAGTCTCTTGTAGCTGGAATGGCTCTGTGACAGTGATGGCTTGAACGTGCTTTTTTGCATAGGTATTTGGATTGGAAAAAAAAAAAGCTCAGAGATTCTGGTTTGTTCCTCCCAGCAGTGATTGTATGAATTTCTGTGGTGCTGCTGCACTCAAGCTCTGCTTTGAGAGCAGCAGAACTAAGAGAAGGAGGAGAAACCAAAACCAACGAGGGACAATTTTGTCAACGTACTGGTAGACAGAATGATACTTCTAATATTATTACTGCCCTAGGATGTGGCAGATCAGTTTTCATCCCAGCTCCATCATGGGTCTTGAAAGTGAGTGAACAGCAGGTCTTGTAAGAATTTGTTTCCTTCCACCTCTATGGATGCAACTCCAGTTCTGCATGGCAAAAGGCAACCCCTTAGCAGCAGTTCTGCCAAACTTTGCTATTCCAGGCAAAGCACTGGAGGCAGCTTCCTTGCCATGGAAATGAACTAACTGAAGAAGCCGGTCCTACTTGGTGGCATCAAAGCTATAGTTCAAGTGATCAGTGGAAACACTGAAGGGAAAACGCCACGTGCCCTGGGCTGTAGGACACAGGCCAGCCCTAGGAATATAGGGCCATGAAACGGGAACTGAAATGCCCTGCTGTAGTACACCCATGTATTCCTGTCCCTAGAGGAGAGTACTGGTGCTCCTGGGTGCCACTGGACACAACAATCTGGTCACAGGCTCAGCAATGATCCAGAGGATCTAGACTGGACTAGCATCTTTAGCTCTTTCATGAGACATACTGGAAAGGATTAGAGCTTGTGTAGAACTTGAGTGCCACTTTCTTTTAATATCTTTATTTTCCTATTTAAGTAGAAACTCTGAAAACTTTCTTGCTCCCAGATTTTATAAAGCACATCTTTTTGGTAAAATCAAAGTGCCAGTGTATTGATTCGCTGCAACCCCATCAATTATCAGTTTTCTTCTGGCAAGAGCACTTGCAGCACTAAAGCCACCCAGCACTTCCAGGGACACTGCAGAGTCTCCTACCACTGCCCCAGGCACCTTGAGCAATGCTGGTTCATCCTGACCTGCCATGTAAGTTTCATTAAATATGTGGCTGCTCTGCAGGACTGCTAGAAAGAACAGGGGATCGGATAAACTTCCTTGCTTTGCTCAGTCAAACTCTGGTTAGGGGGTTTGCAGTGGCCCAAAACAGCACTGCTTATCAACACCAGTTTTGCCAACATTGTGTCCTCACGTATGTTGTTTAGACCTATCCAGCACTGAGCTCAGCAAGGAACAGCCATCCTTGGAATTACAATATACTCACTAAGGCCATGTGTGGGTTTAGCTTGACTGACAGCTATCCAGTAGTGATGGAAACAAATACTTTCCTTTCAGTCTCTTCAATTTGTGCCTTCCACAAGGGTATTTCAAATTTAGGTGTTCGGTGAGGTGTGTTCTTATGTTTAAGTAACACCGTGTTATTTCCTTTACTAAGACTGTGTAGTGGTTGTTGATGCTCAGTTCCCCCTCAAATAAATGGTTTGTGAGGGTGGGAAAGAGGGGGCTTTCTCCCAGAAGCTCCTGGAAGACTTCCTGTTCTAGACACAAATGCCACAGCTTGGTATTTTTGTTGGCACCTCCTACTTTGCCGTATCGGTTTAGGACTTGTTCTGAAATGCTTGTTATGTGGTGCACACTGGCCGAGGGCAGACTCATGCCACCTAATTTTTTTATGTAGAGCACTGACCTGCATCTTAGCCTGTTCTCATCCACCTCAAACAGAGAGGCAAAACAAGCCTCACACTGCAAGTGCACGGCCAACTGCTTGGCCACCCAGCCAGCAGTGCAGGTGAGGCTCTGCGTGTGCAGTGACAGATCTGTCAGCGCGTTGCTCAGGGCAGAGCTGGGCAAAAGCAGACCTGCACTGTAGGGGTACTCTGGGGCCAGGGTCTTGCCTGGAACTGGCTGATACTGAGCACGAATGCTTCCCAGAGTCAGAGCTCTTCTCTGAGACAGGGATGCGTCCCAGGGGCTGGCATTGCCACTGCTGGGTGGCGAGCCGGGGGCCAGGCTGCAGCTGGCCAGCAGTTTGTGGTAAGCAGCCTGGAACACAGCACAGGTGGGGCTGCTGCTGCCACAGGCTTGGTGGAGGGCCCTGAGAAACTTCTCCAGAGGGTCCAGGCTGAAGGCATGTGTGTGGAGGTGGTGGGAAGGAGTGCCTTTTGGACATGTGTGGTTGGAGGAAAGCCACTTGAGGCTTTCAGTGTTGAGCAAGAAGCTCAGAAATCCCAGTTTGCGTTTGCTCTTAATAATGTATCTCCCCACAGAGTCTTTTAAGTTGATAAAGCAGCTCCTGGCTTCATCGAAGAGGTTGCTTATTTTGGTGAAATTTCCAGCTAGCAAAGACTCCTTTCCAGAGGGGCCCCTGCCATAAAACACATCGCACAGAGAGCTCATCAGACGCACAAACTTGACAGTCCCGCTGCAGTTCTGAAATGAGGTGAGGCCCAGGTTCTGGAGGTGCTCCAGTGCCTCAGCAACCCCCTCACTGAACAGCAGGGTAGCGAGGTTGACCTTCAGGTGGTAACTCCCTTTACTCCCAGGACTGCACAGCTCCAACACCCTCTGCTCGCCCAAAGCTGCCAGCTCCACCACATGCTGCCACCACATGGTGTCACCGAGCCACTCGACCTCGTGGAAGCACTGCAGAGCATTCCTTATCAGCAGGAGGGCATGACAAACATCAAAGAAGTACACGATGCTGTGAGCAGAACCGGGTGGATGCTGGAAAGTGCACTGAATCCTTTTGGGATCTATCCTGATCCCCAAAGCTCTGGCAGTCTCAGCACCGCGAGCAGAGGCACCCGATGTCACAGCCAGGACCATCATCCCAACGTTGTTCAGCTTATGGATGGCCTGACGAAGGAGCTGAGCAAGGAAGTTGCCGGATGTACTGTTCACCAAGAAATAGCCAAGGGGAGCGGTCCAAGGGCTCGAGATGCCGACTGCCATGAGGATTATTGCTTCTGACGCCAGCGGAGCTTCGTCAGCGTCAAGGATGCCTGCTCCCAAGTCAACAAAGCCCGTCAGCTGCTTGCTCTGTGGGTCCCACTCCTGCTGCTTCTGCAGGGACACATCCTGTACCAGCACGGCGCAGTAGCGGCAGGCCTGATCCCCTCTCTCCACCTTTTCCTGAAGCTGGAGAAAAATGTCACTGCTGAAGCCTGCAGCAGCCTCGTTATTAGACAGCCAGCTGGAAAAAAAGGGATGTGATTAGGAGACATGATTCTGGAAAAGCTGAAGCAACAGGCATCACTTTTTACCACTTAGGACATGGTCAGCCATGCCTGAGCTGCAGAGCAGGCTGAGACATGCAGGGCAAAGAAGGCAGCCCTGGTTTCCTTCATGCATGGTCCGAGTTTTTCTCCTCTCACCCTAGTGGTGGGAAGCCCAGGAAAGTGCTGACCATGCAGGGAAATAACAAGGCAGCTTCAGGACAGATCTATTACATCTATTTCTACACCAGTACTGGAAATACATTCTGAATGAATGAATAACTAAAAACTTGCTTTGTCAGGCTGTAAGGATGAGGGAGAGGAAGAATCTTCCGTAGGTAATCATAGGCCTTAATATGGTAGAGATGGAGAAGACAAGCAAATTGCTTCATTTCTGGTGAGTAATCTGCCATCTGCCTCCAGCTGTGCAACTCTCGAGGCAAATCTGCTTAAGAAATCACAAAAGGTCAACTTTAGCGAAACAAATAAATAGCTGGAAACAGAGGGATGCATGCCATAAGCACCCCGCAGAATACAAGGCAACAGCGTGGCCTCTGGAACAACTCAGTCCTGAAGGCTGGTGTGCAGTGCAGGGCTCAGCAACGACACCACTGTGCCTCGCCTCTTCCTTGACACGGGTTAAGCAAAGACACGTACCCAGGGCCAGGGAGTGCACTCTGCCTCAGCAAGCGTCCCGGCAGTACCTGAAAACTGCGCCTGCAGCAAACTCACGATTTCCTCAGAAAGCTGCCGCTTTTCCGCCAACTCCCTGAGGATGCTCGGCACGGTCCTGCGCCGGCGCGCGGGGCCGCATCTCCCGGCGGCCGGCGGCTTCTGCTGGTGCCGCGGGGCGTCCGGCGGCGGCCGCGGCTCCCGCTGTCCCTGCAGGCTGTAGTTGTGGTCCCCGGCGGGCGGGCTGGGCAGCGGCTGCTTCAGCGTTCGGCCGGGGGTCCCGCTCCTCCTGCGGCCGGCGCCCGGCGGCTCCTGCCGGGGCAAGGAGAGGGCAGGTCACGGCACACGGCGGAACCCCCGCGGGGGGAGCGGGGAGCGCGCCCGGTACCCGCCCGCACCGAGGGGAGGAAGCGGGAGGGCACGGCCCCCCGCCGCAGCTTCCGCCGCAGCCCGTAGCGCTCGAAGTCCCCTTCGGCGAAGTGTCGGGAGCAGAGGATGGCGCCGGGGCCGGGCCGCCACGCCCGGCGGCTCCGCGGGTCCACGCGGTTCACGGCGCGGATCCACTCGCGGCGCTGCGCAGCGTCCACCGGGAACCTGCGGCAGAGGGAGACGGCGGGATGCAGGGAAGGAGGGACGGACGGAGGGATGCGGGCGGGCGGCGCGGGCGCACTCACTGGTGGAAGGAGATGCCGCGCTCGCGGCTCCGCCCGGTGTCGCGCGCGGTGCAG